TGCTTGTTCAGCTTTTTCCAAAATATCCTCCATTATATTTGGGGTAGAAAACACGTTTTCACCGCAAACACAGCTTGATAACAAAGTTCTGTTTATAAACAAGTAACATAGCAACAACCTAGCAACAAGAAAACTCTACTATAATCAACGGTACCTGATTCAAATATACCGGGAAGGTAATGAATTGGTACATTTTTCCGTTTCAAAAATGAACAAAATTTTATTGAAATCGGTCAGAAATAAAATTATCTATGTACCACGGGAATTAATGAGCCTTAATAACCTCAGGCAATTGCTGTCCCTCGGGCCAGAGGCCCTCGGGACGCAAACTTTGCCATCGGTAATTAAGGCCCTCCTAATTCCCTTGATACATAAATTAATTAATGCACTCCAGTAATAGCAAAGTTACCAGTGGATCAGTCTATAGGTACTTTCTGTCTTTAAGAATGAAGGTTAAGATCAGTACTACTGACATCATTGAACCCCACCCCTAAAAATGTTCTTATTACTTTGATTTTGACACATTTGTTTTCAGTACATATTCATAAAAATTTTGATGATCTTCAATGCTTCATATATCTATCATTGTTGTTGATTCAGTGTAGTCTCCAAAGTTAGTCCAAACATAATCCCAATTTTTAGGATCTCCTCTCGGGTCCAAAGGTAGATTTCCTGGTGGTACTGCTGTTTTGTTGTATCGTTCTAGAACCCCTTCCATACTTTGGAGAATATGGGGATATCTAAAAATGAAAACAGGTAACAAATTGAGATACGGGTATCAAATAAAAATAGGGAAGGAAAGTTTATTATTACAGAAAAGAAACAGTTATGACGCCTGCACTGCACTGCACTGACGCCTGATAGGATGCTTTGTTTCGAAGATACGGGGTGAAAAATAATTTCGACAATAACAAATTTGGTGATTTCAAATTTATTAACGTAGCCGAAATAAAAATATAGTGTACTACACTGGACCTACCAAGTAATAAAAAATCAAACAATTCCGTTGGTAACTATCAACAACATTCCGATTTCAGTGGAAGATTTGAGAAATCGGATAATTGCTGGGTGTATGGCAATCAGAAACGATCCTGGTGTTTTGAAAGAGTTCAGGAGTCAATGAGGGGGAGATTGGGGTAGTCATTTTCAACAGTTCTTGTATAATAAGAAACATTGTTATTGCTGAATTTTTTTTCGCCCCGTATCTTCGAAACAAAGCGCCCTAGAGAAAATCGTCAAAGGACAGAACAGTCAATAATAGTCCAAGGAATAGTCCTTTAAATTTTGGCCGACGCGCTATAAATAGCGCACTTCGCCCTAGAGCATTTTAGGATGAGCAGCGATCGCACGCGTTTATAAGTATATTTAGTATCACCATTGTTTCTGTGCAGGGCCGGGGCAGGTCGCTAGTTAATAATCAAGGCCGTAGCCAGGGGGGATCAAGGGGGATTGATCTCCCAGAAAGTTCTACAAGCAACGCAACGGCCATCCAAAAATTATATCGAATACGACGATTGGCTTGTTTAAACGTTACAGGAGCCATGAGAACAACACCAACCGTGGCAATGGAAGTAATTACTGGTCTGTCCCCTCTGGACCTGTACGTTAAGGAGGTTGCGTTAATGGCCATGTTACGATTGCGCACGGCTGGTGTAAACCTCGAAGTAGGCATCACTGGTTGCCTGCGCAACCTCTGCTGCAGGCAACCAGTGATGCAATTGAACCCTTCCTACTCTACAGAATCAGTCATCCAAGCATGGAGAAGCGATATCTAAAACACAAGCTGAATGTTNTTTCATCTAACACCATTTTCTTTCTTTCGTTATTTTTATATTTCATGTTTTTCTACTGTTCCACCAAACCAAACCCCCTCCGAAATTGTTTTCTGGCTACGACCTTGTTCATAATATTAGACTAGCTTAGACTAGTATCTATTAAGCGAAACGAAAGCTTTTTTTCTGGTTTAAATAGACATGAGACAGCTTTCAGACAGGTACCCATCAAAGAATAATATGCGGCGAAAACTTACTCATTAGCCAAATTGTTTGTTTCACATGGGTCCGTGAGAATATTGAAAAGACACGATGATTCCAGAGGGTAGCAATTTCCGGTAGAATTCACTGGCGGCGTACAGTCGATCGTCGCCTCCCCTCGTAACGCTTCCATTTTCAAACGAGACGCTGATTTATTGATGGCCCTTAGGGCCTGTCCTGCTGCCGAGTTTTCAATCAGAGATAGGCTGTAGTTATAATCTCTGCCGCTTGGGCCGTACCAACTGTCCCACGTGCCATCGTATGTCGTTCCTAAACATTTGGGATTGTGATTTTAGAGGGTTGGATAGATTTTGAAAAGTATAGTGGGTAAATGAAAAAAATTGAAACGGAAATGTTCAGCTGAATTGATGAAACCTATCCTAACCTAACCTAACCCAACCTAACCTAATATAACCTAACCTAACCTAACCAAACCTAACCTAACCTAACCTAACCTAACCTAACCTAACCTAACCTAACCTAAACTAAACTAACCTAACCTAACAGTACAGTCAACTCTTAACCAAGTTAAATACAAAATCATTGGAAGATAGGAGAATTTCTATGAACTTGAGTTTCCTCTTCAAATTAATAAATAGTGAGATAAACTGCCCAGAACTACTTCAACTAATAACTTTTCATATCAAACAAAAAGATACATTTTTCATATAAATTTTTTCCATACCAATTATGCTTTGAACAGACCGATCTCGTATTTTGAAGCTGGGAAATCAATATCATAATAACTTAGATCTGTTAAATGTATCACTTCAGGTCTTTAAAAATCAATTGAAAAGGCTATAGCGTTTTTGAAGCTTTTCTTAACCTTACAATTTTCTTTGTGAGTACCAGATTTGTTACATCTGTTTTCTTGTAAGTACCAGAATTGTTTCATCTTTTAGTAATATAGTCACTANTTTCCATAAATGTCATCTATGTTGTGGAGGACGTCAGTTCTATTGGATTTTTCATCATTGGACAAAGCGGTCCACGTTGAAATTCCGTCAATATCAGATATGTTGCTGAAAATTGAAATGTTTTCATTATTGAACGATTCTACGGAATTATTTACGAGGTCTGTTCAAAAAATGAGGTGAATTTTCAATTTCTATTTTGTCCCTCTCAACGTTTTTTCTAATCTTCGAAGCCGTGCTGACATGCACTTTTTGATATGCCCTCGAGCTCTCAGCGATTCCGTTTTTATCTTCTCAATCGTCGCCAAACGCTATCCATTTATAAGTCTCTTCAATCTTGGGAATAGGGAAAAGACACTGGGGACCAAATCTGGTAAATACGTTGGCCGAGACATGATTACGGTGTTGTTTTTGGCCAAAAAATCACCAACAATCAATGACGAGTGAGCAGGTGTAATAAGTTGGACATATTATTTTTCGTTAAATATTGACTACCAAAACAGATGGGTTTTCGTAGAAAAAGGGAACCTTTATCACCTTTCAGTAATAGTTTTAGGTCAACCAGAGTCAAGCCATTCAAAGGAAAAGTCGTTTAAATTAACTGCCCAATGTTTAAGAAATCTGATATTTTAGAACATTCAACCTCATCATTCATTTCATTATCATGACGTTAAGGGTCGAAAATATATTATTCAGTCTGTGTACCACATTCAGAATAACAATCAAAAAGTACTTGAACGTATAACACAGCTCTACAAAAAAAATTTTTGTTTGTGTTGCCCTGGATATTTTTGCAAATTTTTATGTTTTCGAGTGCCTAAATCACGAATATATTTATGAAAGTACTGAATGTGCTCTATTTTTTCATGATTTTTACGTATCTTGTATTTTTAATAATAATTGGCGTGTTAGTAAAAAAAATGTATTTTCTCAGTCATGATTAGGCTTCTGCGCAACTTCTTTGCGCGTACAAACATCACGTGATCCCCACTTCTCGGGCTCCTTGCTCTGCAAAACAGCTGAGAACTCAGTTATTTGATAATATTGAAGTACTAACACGGAAATCTGGATATGTTGTTATATGTTAATATTTTGTTTCAATTGTTGAGTGTCCGTTCTAATATACCTATTTATCTTGTCTTTTTAAATATGAGTTTGTCACGAAGGAAGTGCAAATATAGTAGCGTATCTTTATTCCATGACCGTTTCTCAAGACATCGAGCAACACAAGACTTTTCGAATTACCAAAGTCGGATATGAACCGTGTGTTCTTTGAAATGAATTTCAATAGCTCGTTTAGTTGGGACAATATACTTTTCGTAGCAGCCCTCATAGTTTATTTCATCAATATGAGACTTTTCAACTTTGTTGAGGTAATCTAACATTTATAGAAGTGAACAGCTGATTTGGAAGATAATTTTACGAATTTTATAAAAATTAATTCAATCTATTGTAGCCTTGGAACAGTAATAAAATTCGGCTCACTGTCTTCTTGAAAAGTCGAGAATTTTAAATTCGCATCCTAATTGCCTTATATATTATATTTGAAGGAAACCTCTCTTCCAGCTATATCCTTGATAACATTTTTTATATTATCGTATCTTTTTGTGTGGTTCTGGCAATTTTGTTGTAGACAATGGTGAGAACTGCCAAAAATATATCTGAAAGTAGAAATATTTATTTTTTCCTGTTGACATCAAATTCTCGAACCTGGACATTTTTTTATAGTTGAGACATCTTGTTGGTCAGAAAAAGTTTGGAATTTATGAAAAAACTGAAGATACATTGGTCAGACCAAACGAAATATGAAATTTCGTTCCAAAGAACATATGATTTACATCAGAAAAAGACCGAGAAAGACCAGAATATTCAAATGTCATTCAACACCCTTTGGATACCGACTTCACAACCCATTGAATGTGAAAGTTTTTTTCCCTCTTCCTTCATTTTTTGAATAATAATCATTGCAAATAATGAAGTTTTTCAAAGTGGTGGAAATAAAGATCTGTCTATTTCTGATTCTGTTCTTACCTGACGTCTCCTCCTGCAGCTTCTATCAGAGTCGGTAACCAATCGGACACGTGCATCATCTGATCAGCGACCCTCTGAGATTTATTTATGAGAGCACTCCATATCAGGGCAGCTCCCCTCACTCCCCCTTCCCATAGCGTGTTCTTCACTCCCCTTAATGGATAGTTTGAGGCGGCGTTGAGATTGAATCCTGATGCGGGTCCTCCGTTATCCGTGCTGAATATTATTATGGTATTCTCTAACATGTTGTTTTCTTGCAAAGCTTTTGTAACTTCTCCAACGGAATGGTCTAACCTGCTGAGCATTGCTGTGGAGTAAAAAGGAAAATGAAATGATAACTAACAACGGATCTTCCAACGGGGGCTTCTGAACTCTGACGATTGATAACGATCATTTTGTTGAAGCTACATCTCTTCGATCATCTTAAGTTAGGACAGAATGGAGCCTAGCCTAGCTGACGTTCGTTAGAGGGACAAATGGTACACAACTGAGTTTGGGATGGCGACATGAATGTCCTCAGAATTCGGTGCCATCCTTCACGGTGAATACCTGCCTGGCTGGGGTGAGTGGATGGCAAAATTGTTCTGTTAACAGAACGGGGGACATGAGGGCCTCATTCGACAGAGTGTCGGGCCCTTCTGTATCGGGAGGGGTCGTATACAGCATAATCTATCGCTTCTCTAACTAATGAAGCATGAGGGCATGGTCATCTCACGTGTTGGTGATGTGAACTGGCCACCGAGATCGCGTGATTTGACCCCTCTAAACTTTTTTGTGGGGTTTTCTTAAGTCGCAGGTGTATGCAAATAAGCCACAACAATCTTTATCTCGCAGACATTTGCGAGACTAATCTTTGTGAGGTATACATTTCTGTCGGATATAATTCAATGTCCATCGTGATATGAGCCGAAGAAGTTGGTTGTTTTTCGGCAGGCCTCAACCTTATACGTATGCATCTCTCCTCAATACAGTCTTAGACTTATTTCAATTCCTTTTTCAATTTGAATGAAATTCCTATGACTGGGCTGAAATTAACTTATCGAATGAATGTTTGAATGAACTGCCATCGTGACAAAAGCAGAGTTGGCTCTTCCGACAAAGTTTAAATGCTGTGAAAGAAATCGCTGCCTCGTTTTGTAAAACGGAGATAACACAAATGTCTTGTCCCGAAACTTCGAAGTACACCATTGATGATGATTGTTCTGTAATGAACAGTGTTCCATCTGTGTGATATTTTATATCAATGTTCTTTCATTTATTACGTTGAGTAGCGTTTGTATGAATGATATCTGTTTCAAGTGCATTTTGTTGCGTTTTTTGTGAAACTGTTTAGTGAAAATCTCACAATAAAATATTTCTCGTATACATTGGACTATTCTCCAAAGATGAGAGGAAATATCAAAGAGTGTATATAGGATGAAGTGCGGTTTTGAAATTTGTTAATACATTTTCTCGATTGAATAATCAAAAACTTATGAGACTGTATGAGGAATAGGAACACCTTTCAAACGAAATATTTTACAGCTCGCCAATCGGTTTATACATTTTGTTTGGGGAATAACTGTCACTCCGAGGAGATTGATGAGGGGTTTACATTTTTATCTTGAATGAGGTCATTTCGTTTCGATAAAAATTAATGTATATCAGGATTTTTTTGAAAAATTGTCAGTTTAGCAAACAGTTACCTCATCAGACACTTTTGGACTGTATTATATACACTCCTCAAAACAATCAAAGGATCACTTCTTTATGAGCTTGTAATTTTTTAACAGTTATAAAACTCATTATATGTTATATTATAATAAAAGGCTATGCAGATGGCTACCAAATCCATGCTTTATTATTGAATAATTTTTTTTTGGGTATTCGATATACGCAAGAAAATTAAAGAACTGCCATAATCAAAATGAAAACCCTTCGATTATTGAACTCAGAAACAAACAAAAAGTTGTTTTTGTGTTGAAATCAATGGCTCAGTATTTTGTGTTTCTTCCTCGGACAGAAATCACAGCACGGATTCGCCGGTGCATGGTTCTTATGAGCCTCCTGAGGTTTTCTTTAGGCAAACGCTTCTACTATTCTCAAAACGCGATTTCCAGCTCATCCAAAGTGGTGGGTTGATTTTGACGACTTCGGTTGATTCTTCCCAGTTGATCCCAGACATGTTTGATGGGATTTAGGTCTATCCCAAAGTGGAGGGCTTGTAGGTACTGACGATTCCTGTAGAGTAAGGACGAGTCCCATCGTGCATGAAAATAAAATTGTGTCCTTCTGCTCCTGCTATGTGACATATCTGGACATACAACACCTCATCAACGTACCTTAGGGCAGTCAGGGATCCGTTGCGCATGATTACAAAGTATGTACGATCATTCAGAGTTATTTCACCCCACACTATTATTGATCCACTTGCAAATGGGACTCTTGAAAATAAGCAGCAGAGGGAATGAAACGTTATTTCCTTTTTCTGTATACTCTGGCCCTGTAATTACCTAGCAGAGTGAATTTAGGCTTATCAGAAAAGATTACTTTACGCCAATGCCTTAGCTCTGCGAACCTTTGTGTGTTCAAGCGAAATTCGTTCTCTTTTGTGACGTGGTGTAAGCCGAGGTGGTCTAGATCTCAATCCACTTTCCCGAAGTCAATTTGGGTCCCCGTTGCTCGACTTAATTCATTTTACAGCTCCTTGGCTTTTGAAAATCTGCGTCTGAGGGTACGCAGATATAAATACCTGTCCTCTTTTGATGAAGTGGTCCTCCGCCGGCTTTGACCTGGCCTTTTTTGGATAGTCTCTAGTTGTTGGTTGCGGTTTCAAAGTCTTGAAACCACTGATTAACTTACACCTAACCTTTTATTCACCTGACGTTGAGAAACCTCATTGACATCATTGTCTGGAAGAAATCTTTCAACACCTGCCATGGTACGTAAATAGGAGGCATCTAATATAAAATGAGTAAACTGCACGTTGTAAGTTTGATTGACAATTGGTGAGAGTGGTTAGTACTTGGAATCATGCTCTTTTCGATTCCTGTTTTGAAAGATAAAAGTTATCTATACTAATCCAGAGCAAAGGGACAAAAACCACCAGAGGAAACATTATTATATTTATCATAAAACTTATTTTTGTACACGATCCTTACAAAGTGGTGATCATTCAATGTTTTGTGGAGTATATATTGACTATTATATTACAGTGGCAAACTTAGTGGCAACATATCATTTTGTGTGAGGACGCCAAAAAACTGATGTCCTCTGAAAACTTTCAAAAAATTCGGATTTTTGCTCGACAGGATTTGTGCAGAATTTCACGGAACATAAAAAATTAATGTCTGGTTAATGTATTACATTTATGGTTTGCTAAAAAGCGCAGTAAAAGCTCATTTCGAATAATTAATAAAATATGGTGCATTCCATTGAAGCAAACGTTCGATGACGTCATCTCTCGGAGCAATAAAAAATACATACACTTTGTACAGCAAGCTTCATCAATATAGTACACGATGGAACATTCATTAAGTTCAATCAGAACTTAAATGTAGATAGGTGTACAAATGCGAGTCGGCGGCAATTTCTTAGATTTTGAGACCAATTGAAGACGTATCAGTATCGTTTGGTCAGTTTAACGTTGTAATTTGAAAAGTTCCTGCAGTTTCAATTCTTTCATACTACACAAATTGTTGTTTTGACAATTACTAGACTGTAGGCATTTCACATTTAATGGAAAGTGAAGTCTATATCGTAACCAAATATCGGATTTGGCGAATGGAGTATGATATATAATGTATTAACAGAATAATTAACAACGTGCTGACGTAACATGAGGTTACTTTTCAGTGAGTTTTATGAATAAAACAAATTCTCCAGTTAAAGGTTAGGCTGTTTGGATCAGTAGCCATGTCATTTTGTTGTTGCTTTTCAAACGTATTTTCTGTCTTAATGTAATGCGATTTTGTAGCTCCATATTTTAATAAATATATGATGATGTTGAGCGATTTTTGGCTAACTTAGTGCAGCTTCCATAAAGAGAAATGCTCCAATTTGTGCTCTCTCATGGTCACGGTCCATGTAGAGAAGGGTATCCGAACTCCTGACGACTTTACAGGCCATATCCAGTACCATTCTGTCATGTAGACACTTCAAACTCAAAAGTCCACGCGCTCCTTGTTGTAGGAGGAAGTACAACCGTGGAACGGACGATTTGGGATGCAAACTCCTATAGAGATGCACCATTTTTCGGGTCTTTACGTCGAGTTGATACAGTTCCTTCCGAGTCCACTTTACTACTCCAGACGGCAAGCATATTTGTTGCAGCAACTTTGTTCTTCTCCGACAGTTTCGATAACCAGATCTGTCGAAGTTTGTGCTGATACTTGCCGTGGAAAGAGTTCTGCACTGCTGTTACCACTTGTGAGTGGCGTTGTTTCACTTCGAGGTAAGTATACGTCTCTCCGGCATCCATATGGTGTAGGATGATTCCATCTACGAGCTGCACGAGTTCCCGCATTGTCCTCTTTTGAGATGGACCGTTGCACATTTGTCTATCCCGAATTCCATACCGAAAGCATGCGTGTACACATCCACCACCCTCAAGGACTGATGGAGATCCTTCTATCCAGAGGTATAAAGTTTGAGATCATACATATAAAACAAATGGTGTTCATTATTATTATATTTTACTTTAAAGTAGAATCATGAAAATGGATGAAACTTTTGTAACAACAACCCAATTTTTGATGTGGACACATACCTGCAAAACGTCTCCTCTTATAGTCACTGATGTAGAAAAATTGCTCGACCACCTCATCGGATGCTGGTAGAGGAGTATACGGGTTTGCAGAGTGTACCGCTGCGTGAGCAAGATAGAGGAACAAAGGCTGACTCTTGTTGTGCTCGTTGATCAACTTGACAGATTCTGCCGTGAAAACGTCAGTGGAGTATTGCCCATGAAGATCGTACGCTACATCCAAGTTCCTTCTCATATCAAGTCCCCAGCCTGGATTTTCAACCGCAGTGTGATCGTAGTAGTCGTGGTGGCCCGTCCAGTAACCTAAGATGACGAAGTCGCTTTGTATGAAATTGCTTCAGTTCACAATATAACTAGCAGATAATGTGAGGGAAACAAGTGGAAATTATTTTTCTCATACTGAATGGATGGACTCAAAATAACCTAGCTACATCCCCATATAGCCGGTATATCCCAGGATCATGTGCGAAAGCTCAGTCGTTGTTTTGTGTCATTTGTTTGCTTCAACCAATGGAAAACTTGTTGTTAGGAGATACCGTCTGCGCAAAAAAGTCTGTACTTGAGAGTGATGTACTGACCACCCTCTATGTTTTCGATTGCTGTCGTTTGCAGGTACCTTTGGAGTTAACTGAGCTCAAGGAATTGAGAGAGGAGAGCAGAACTGCCCTATTTTCTATGTACAATCTTTTTTATTTATCTGGATATGTTTCTAAAGAATACAGTTTTATTCTACACCACTAGACGTGTCTTTCTACTTGTCGAACACTGGACATATGAATCACTCAATTTATTTTATGAATTATGAACATTGTAGAGGATTGAAGTCTCTACAACTTTTGTTTGAACATTTTTTCTATATTTTGAACCATTTTTGAGATAGAGGGCAGAGCGAGTTGGCCATCTAGAATGCTCCAAAATCTGAGGAGTGTATCGATCGTCTTTGCTGTGTACAATTCATCAAGTTAACAAAATTGAATAAACCTGTGCAGTAATCAAATCTTCCACCAGCGAGTGTAGGAGCTCACCAACGTTTCAACCGTGTTTATTATCAAGTTCAGATCTGGTTAGGTTATGTTATGTTAGGTTAGGTTACCATCTTCCGATGCCCTAGATGGAACACCGACCGAGCGGACCTAGAAATATTGCTCGGAGAAGTCACCCCGGAAAACCTCATGCGTTTGATGACATCAGACGAAAACTTATGGAAGAGGGCCTCACGTATACTTGGGAATATTATGAGTCAGAAAGAGACAGAAGAAAGAATTTTCCAAGCTCAAGGAAGAACTTGAAGACTTGCCTTGGTTGACCCGATGCTATGTCCTTTCAAGACGATTCCAGGTCAACCATACGTGGCGAAGAGGGGGCAGTTTTACTGGCTAACGATGCACCAGTTGACCGTAGAAGGCGGTCCTCGGTTATTCGAAGGTCTTTCTCCCCCTACCAAAAAAAAAAAGGTTAGGTTAGGTTAGTTTAGGTGAGGTTAGGTTAGGTTAGGTTAGGTTAGTTTAGGTTAGGTTTGGAACCCCATAATTGGGCTTGGATAATGCGTGATGAATTTCTGGCACCTGTTATGATAATGAATCCACCAGTTCCGAATGAATTGCTTAACACAATATTCTGCAACTGCCAGAATGGTTGTGGTTCGCGATGTGGATGCAGAAAATTGGGGTTACAGTGCTTTTTAGCTTGAGGCCAGTATAATGGGCAAGCTTGTCTTAATGCTTCGTCCCAGAGTGATATCAATAAAGACGGTAGGTACTTGTGACCCCGACAAGAACACATACGAATTTTAAATTTTATAGCGACTGGAAGACGATGATGAAGAGAAGAAAATTGAAATTAGAATTTGCAGTTCTTATTTTTTAT